GACATGGAATGTTTCATTCCTAATTCTCTTGCTACATCCTGCAGTTCTTCCATAGTGGTCCGTCTTAATGGGAGAGATGGCATGTCCCCTTCCTTTGGCCAAGTTAGTTTTTTGCTTGCCTGGACCCACTCTTTATCAGATTTGCCAGGCGGCCTCTGTTTTCTCTGGCCCCTGCAGCACTCAGACACTGTCGCAGGGCAGGTTGTACCATCACAAATGCCATTTTGACAATTCAAAGTTATTTAGCATTATGCCATCTCCTCCTGTGTCCGGAGAGATGGCATGTCCCCTTCCTTTGGCCAAGTTAGTTTTTTGCTTGCCTGGACCCACTCTTTATCAGATTTGCCAGGCGGCCTCTGTTTTCTCTGGCCCCTGCAGCACTCAGACACTGTCGCAGGGCAGGTTGTACCATCACAAATGCCATTTTGACAATTCAAAGTTATTTAGCATTATGCCATCTCCTCCTGTGTCCGGAGAGATGGCATGTCCCCTTCCTTTGGCCAAGTTAGTTTTTTGCTTGCCTGGACCCACTCTTTATCAGATTTGCCAGGCGGCCTCTGTTTTCTCTGGCCCCTGCAGCACTCAGACACTGTCGCAGGGCAGGTTGTACCATCACAAATGCCATTTTGACAATTCAAAGTTATTTAGCATTATGCCATCTCCTCCTGTGTCCTACAACCATAGTAGCCATTTGGCTACTACCTCTGTACTTTCTGTTTGTACCTATTAGTTAGTTCTACTAGTTCAGTGGAGGAGTATTCCCACACAGTGATTTTAGTACTGGGAGGGATCTCTATCATCCCCTGGCTTTCTAGTAGCCCCAGGTTTTATTTTGAATCTAAGGTCATACCTTCTACGCATACATCTCCTCTTCCTCTATAATGTCCTCATCCTCTGATGAGTCATCACGAGAATCCCATCGTTTGGGGTCTCGATTCTCCTGTGAGATAATAGTTCTTACTCAGGTTGCTGGCAAGCACCTACCCTGTGTTTTAGCCACCTTGCAAGCCATGAATTCAATATGTTCCTCCTATTGCTGAAACTTTTTCAAAAGTGAATCAGAATTGGTAGAGCAAGTCATTCTTACATCTTCCTCCAGGGCTAAAGCCTCCTTAGTTTGTTCTAATTCCTACTGCAACTGAAGCTCTCTCTTTGTGCTGAATTCCAGGGCCAAGCCACTGTAGCAATAGCTTGCTCACTTTCCTTCTTCCACTTTTTATTACCAACAGCTTCAATTGAAATATCTAACAATCTCTTGGGCGTTTTCAGGGTGTCATGCTTGAAAATGTACTCATGCACCAGTCTGAAGCATTCAATAAACCTGGCCAGGTCCCTCCACATGGAAGGTGCTGGCCAGCCTGGGATTTCCCCCACAAACCCCAGATTGCCCCTGCAACACCCCTTTCATCCATGCTTGCTTCATTCTCATTCTGTTCCTAGCTGGCTCAAAAGCTGTGCAAGGAGGGGGTTAGAGTATGATACTTTCTGAACAGGGAAGGAAACTTCAGACTGAAGAATGAAGCAGTTAAATCCATATAGTTTACAAAGAGTTTTATTAAAAGGGTAACTTACATACAGGTAAGGTCACAAGCAGCGAAGAATCAGATGTCTACAGCAGATGAGCATTCTCTCTCTCTCTGGCTTTTAGGCAAGGCTTATATAGTATAACTTCAAAGAAATAGTTTAAGAAAAATAAATTTCCTGTGATCTATGAAGCAGGGAGCTTGTGATGCTTGTGCACAGACTAGCTGACCCAGGAGTTGCAATAAATCACCTATTCTCTAAAGCCTATGTTTCTGTTATGCTTGCCCTAAGATTAATCTATAACTGGTCAGTGAAACAAAGGAATGAAGTTAAACAGGAGTCAACATTGTGGGTGGGGCATAAGATGGCATTAGTCCTGTTCATTCTCTAACCGAAAGGAACAATTATTCTTCATGACCTGGTGTGGACAGGAAAGGTCTCATAGAGGAGAAGCTTAAACTGAATGAGTTTTATCAGGTAGAAAAGGGGAGACAGGTTTCACATGAGTAAATGCATACTAGGGAACTGCCAGTAGTCTACCACCACCTGAGGTGCTAGATTTGTGGGTAATGGGGGAGTAGCAGTAAGAGAAAGCAGGAGGGGGCACCTTACATACCATTGAAAAAATTTTGCACAGTGAAGGCATTGGTCAGCTATTGAAGGATTTTAGGCTTAGGGAATCATATCATCAATTCTGCATTTTAGAACTATTACTCTGGTGGCTTTTTTTTTTTTTTTTTTTTTTTTTTTTTTCACC